GGTGCGTGTGCGTGTATGTGTGTGGTGTGTGTGTGTGTGTGAGAGAGAGAGAGAGAGAGAGAGAGAGAGAGAGAGAGAGCAGCGGGAGACCGCCTAATCGGTATGGACATGGACATAGCGTTCTCTGCCAGAGGGACACCGATGAACGAGTCACCAGGGAACTCGACTCGTTCTTGGTTCAGTATGAGCGCGTACTGTTGAATATATTCTATCTGTATGGCTATGTATGCGTGCATGAATGATGTAGATCGTGGAGACAATCATATTCTTCCCTGTCTGTTTCGTTTGTAGACAAGCGACGTGTTTTGACCGATTGTATTGTTGCTGATCGAATGTGATTATCGAATACTATATGACATTGATGATTATTAGCAATTGAATAATTAAAGGTCTTTGGTTGAATGTTCTTATACTTGTTCGTTTTTTTTCCCTTTGAGTGTTTAAGATGATGATGACGTGATAATGATGATGATTTTATCGTTTGTTTTTTTCTGATATTAGTTTCTTTTTTTCTTTCTATTTTTGCTTTCTTTTGCCCGCGCAATCAGAAATAAGGCCAAGTATAACACGCCTCCGCGGGTGTGGCTTGTCGGTTGTCTTGATGTCTTCTACAGGAGATATCCATGGGCAATATTCTGACCTCCTGAGACTTTTCGAGTACGGAGGCTTCCCTCCTGAGGCGAACTATCTGTTTTTGGGCGATTACGTCGATCGGGGAAAGCAGAGTTTGGAGACGATATGTCTGCTGCTGGCGTATAAGATTAAGTACCCGGAAAATTTTTTCCTTTTGCGAGGCAATCATGAGTGCGCCTCCATTAATCGAATATACGGCTTTTACGACGAATGCAAGAGGCGATTCAACACCAGGCTATGGAAAATTTTCACCGATTGCTTCAATTGTTTGCCAGTGGCGGCGCTGATAGATGAAAAAATTCTATGTATGCACGGGGGTCTTTCGCCAGAGCTGAGGAGCATGGACCAGATTAAGAAAATCGGGAGGCCGACGGATGTGCCCGACTCGGGGCTGCTTTGTGACCTCCTGTGGGCAGATCCCGACAAGGATATCCAAGGGTGGGGAGATAACGATCGAGGAGTGTCGTACACATTCGGCGGGGACAGCGTAGCGGAGTTCCTCCAGAAACACGATCTTGACCTCATCTGCAGAGCCCATCAGGTGTGCTCCTCCTTCCCCTCCTCCCCTCCTCCTCCTCCTCCTGTCCTCCCTTTTTGTTCTCTCTCGTTCCACTTCTCTTGCTTATTCTCCTCCCCTCCTATTTTTTTGCATTTTCTTCTCTCCGTATTCATTTTCTCTTCTTGCTTTTATTTTTATTTTTTCATTTGTTCCCTCCGCTTCCTTCCTTTTCTTTCCTCTTCGTTGCTGCTGCTCCCCTGCTCTTGCACATGGAACGGGCTCGCTACGTTTTGTTTTGAGGTTTTCTTTTTCTGTTTATGTTCATGATCCAGCACCAATCTCCCCCTGGTTTTCTTTTTCGGTTATGGAAACTTTAACATGCAATATTCACTTCTCTCCTTCACCCTCCCCCCGCTCCCCACCCCCCAGATTCCCCTTTCGTCACACCGTCTCGGGTGTGCGCAGGCACGTTCTGACTCGCACACACACACGCACACACACACGCACACACACACGCACACACACACGCACACACACACGCACAGAGAGAGAGAGAGAGAGAGAGAGAGAGAGAGAGAGAGAGAGAGAG